TAGGCGGGCCATCTATGTACATTTTCCCTACATATGTTTGGCATTTAAGACCAATAAAGTAGTAAGTGATTGATCTCCCTCACTGTGTACACTAAACTGCGGGTGATCGGAGAGAGAGAAAAATAAAGAGATGTCCATGGTTAGGTCTTTGAATGCAAGATACAAAACTTCAAACACAGTTGCTGTTTTTTTTTCCTTTTTGTGCAGCTGCTTGCTGCTGATGGGATTTGTTCTCTCTTGCTTTTGCTGCATCTTGATAACAAGCCTCCCTAACTTGGCTCACCTGTTGTGATAACAGTCACAAGGGAAACCTTTCAAAACGGTAGTATGTTTCACAGAACCCCCCCCCCAAAGACTTGGTTAAAACAAAAAAAAAAGCTGTTTGTAAATATGCGCCCAGTGTGTACTCAGCTGTCTGAGGTAATAGAGTTGCTGCCTCACCCGCTTCACTTGATTGTCTATTGGGGTTGTCAGTGTGAGGTGTTCAGAGACGTGCATCTTTAGGTTCTTGAAACTGCACCCCCTCTCTACCAGCATCCCATCTATCTTCAGTGGGTTGTAATCCCTCAGCTGTCCTCTACCTAAGTCCACGATCAGCTCCTTGGTTTTGCTGATGTTCAGAAGCATATTTTTGGCCTGGCACCACTATGACAGGTTTCCAACTTCCCCTGTATGTCTGCTCATCATTGTTGCTATGCGACTAAATGTGTCATCTGCAAACTTCATGATGATGTTGGAGCTGCTCGTAGCCACACAGTGTGTGTCCAGGGTGAAGAGAGCAGGGACCGGTGTTGAGGGTGCAGGGGCTGGAGGTGTGTCTGCCCACTCTGACCACCTGAGATCTGTTTGAGAGAAAGTCCAGGATCCAATTGCACAGAGAAGTATGAAGCCTAGGTCAACCAGCTTGGAATGGAGGCTGGCAATGGCTATGGTGTTGAAAACAGAACTAAAATCAATGAACAGCAGTCTCACATAGTCCACCTCCCGTTGGTCCAGATGGTGAGTTTGGTGGGCAGTACCTGGGAGACAGTGTCATCAGTTGATCTGTTATGAATGTATGAGAACTGAAGTGGATCCAGAGATTCAGGTAGCTAAGGACCAGATGTGCACCTTGATGAGTCTCTCCTAGCACTTCATCCCTTTTGAAGTGAGTGCTACTGCGCGTTAGTCAATAAGGCTAGTTGGAGTGGCGCTCTAAAATACAGGGACAATGATTGCTTTTTTCAGGTATGTTGGGCCTCGGGCTGACTCAAGGAGAGGTTGTATGCTGGTAAACACTGGCGCTAACAGGGCAGCACTTCAACACTCTGTTACTGTACTCTGTTTACTCTCTTCAGTGTTCTCATGCTGTGAAGAGTTCCTGCGTCTGCCTTGGCTAGCATGCTCACATTAGCTTTGCTTGTGCTAGCCTCAAACTGCACACAAAAGCCTCCGTCCACAGATGCCACTTTTTCAATATAAAACCAATGTAGTTCAGCGTTTTGTTACATGTCTGGACATGCATAAAGGGGTGAATAACTTTACCTATAGCCAACGGAAGCTCACCACCCATTAGGTAACTAGTCTACTCTTTCACAGAACTATGTGAGCGTTTGCTCCCTACCAGCTGCTAGTCTACTCTTTCCTAGTACTGGAGCTATTTAAAATTACTCCGCTAACACCTTGTCGTGAAGGGAAGACTTGTATATCCGCCTAGCCCTAGGATTATATACCTAGAATAATTAGATTCAAGTATAATCCTTAGCCGTTTTCACATATGCACTCCGAATAATATTGAGATAATTACAGGAGGAACTCTCCGGAGATTATCCCGAACTAGCCATTCACATATGCTCCTCACAGCGGGGGACTATCCCTGTCAGAGGGGAGGGGGATTGGGGTATTTCCTGAGGTAAGACGTAAATAAACAATGCGGAAGTAGCGGCCGAAGCAACAGAGTCCGCTACACAACGTTATAATGAGAATATTTGCCTTTATATCAATGCTATGTGTAGCATCCACAAAAGAGTGGAGAACAACATACTGCCGAACAGAGAACATAATGCAGACGTTTAATTACGTGCACGGAGATTGTAGTGATCGCGTGCAGACACTTAAGCCAGTCACTGTATATAAACGTCATTCTCTTTCTATTTGTTCAAGTTGAAATCTCCGGAGTATATACTGCCATGTTCAGACAACAGCTCACTCAGACTTTCTGCGGAAAAAATACTAGGGGTCTGGCCGGAGAAACTCCGGGTAAAGTCTGCGTGAAAAATGCAGCTGTTTGCGTTCACACATAGCCTAAATCCCCTTTGGGTCACCAAATCCCCAGAGTTTTTCAGGAAATTTCCATGTGGGAAAAGGGTTGTTGATTCAGGACCCTAAATTAGCCCCCGGAGGCTTGCACCCCCGGAGAGGGATTAACTGCAACCCTCTTCACTTGGATGCTAGGTGTGTGTGGTGTGAAGTAAAAGTCAGTATAAGTGTGTCGTGGTGTGTCTGCTCATACCTCCCGAGGTTCACACGGCGTCCTTAAGTGAGACTCAGGTCTTTGAGGTATTAATGACTTCAGTTCGAAAAAGGTTTCAAAAGGTTTCCGAAAATTTATTGAAAAAACTTCAAAAGATATTCAAAATTCAAATACAAATCAGTAAAAGTAAAAATAGGAAAATGTAAAAAGTTAAATACAAATTCCAAAGTTTAAACCCGAGCGTGTAGACACTTGAGGTTTTAAAAGATCTGTCTCAGAGACTAAGTCCCGAAACAGGGATTTAAAAGTCAGAGTGACGTATGTGGTTTTGCTCAAAGTATGGCACACTTATCCTGACCTCACAGGTGCATAGGCTCTGCGGATGTGTGCATGATTGACAGAATATGTAAAAGCAAAGAAAGTAGTTATGACTATATGACATATGAATTAAATGATAATAAAAGAAAAGAACACATATGGTAAAAACATATGTGTTGATCTTTCAACAGTTTTCAGCAATCAGCACCCTGACCACAATAACGTCATCAGAGTCAGCTGTTTTTTGTCGCTGCACTCACAGCTCATAAAACGAACTGCTCCTTGACTTCCCAGATTCTTAAGTCCTTGCGGAACACAGACAACGAGTCTGATGGCAGGATGGCTTGATTTTGCACCAGGGTAGTGAGCCATATTTCGGTCAGGAAGAAGATGTAACAGTCCCTCATGTCCCGCTGGTATCTTAACATACATCTCAAAATCATACATCTTGTTATCCATCTACTGGATTGTCAAGTAGGATGCTTGGTTTAGACGGGCCGTGGGTTTGAGCCTAATCCTGTTCCGAACAGCACTAGGTGTTTCTCCTGCTAGACCCTTAGTATTTTCTCAGCAGCAAGTCTGATTGGGCTAATGTGAGAACGCAGCTGGATATTATCAGGAGAATTCACCTCAAGTAAGTGGGAGGGGGTGGTGACGTTTATATCCTGTGACTGGTGCATGGTCTTAGGCAAGTCACGCAAGGTTGGGAGAAATTAGAGAGTTGAAATGCAGCATGTAGCTAGCTTGAGCTTCATCTGATGTGTTCACTTGCTCAAGTACTCAACATCATTAATCAAGTAATGTTTCACTACTTGGCACCTGTGGCACATGTTTTTTATAGGCAACAGTAGTCCAACTACAGTAGTCCAGTAGTTTAGGGCAGTAAAACAATCATGTGACACACTGAAATCTGGTGTTTTTAGCTTTGTGTAGTGTTAGCATTAAATTTTTGTTGCAATTGTGTTTTTTTCCACCTGTGGTTGGCAAGATTTTTGAGGTATGGTCCGTTGCACTCAGTCTCTTAAGAGCAATATCACTCCAGGAAACACTGAACCGATACAACTTGCAAGAAAAAGGTCACATGACAAGGACATGACCTTTTAAGAAAGAATGGAACTGCAGAAAGTAATATTACAAAACTTTAGTTCAACTCTCCAAAGCTGTTCTTGAATGCAAGCCTACTTGGCATTATTATTACTTATTCATTGTGGGAGTAAGGGTCAATGCACTCAGATGTTTGAGTATATTTGTACAACAGCTTTGTTTTTCCTTTTGTTTTTGGTCCTTCAAATAAAAATAAATGGAAAAGTTTGCAGTATTGAAGCACTAAGACACCTTGAACTAGCGGGTCAGATAATTAAGCTTTTTTCCTGTTAGAAAAGGTTGTCTGGAAGTGTTTGCCCAAAGTTCCTGGTTGCCATGGTGGCTAATGAAACTCGTTAAGTTGAGGGCATAGAGGTGTAGAACTAATGCTGAATTAAAAGTCCGTCACAGCTTCTGCTTGTAGGCTCAGAGTAACGAGCCAGCTGGGGTCGTTTCTTTCACCAGATGTTCAGTGTTACTGTTACTGTGTGTTGATGTAGTGATGTGAGGTGTTCGATTACACTTCTGCTGACAGTTAACAAGGTTCTCCCCCGAGCATTAATGTACCTATTAAAAATCTCCAGCTTGTGTGCTCACAGCTGCGGCAGTTCACGTTTATGTCAAAATTTGATATCCCTTTGACCCTTTTCAGTAACATCTTGGAGTGAGCCTTTCCTCACAGAATTTAAAACCGCCAACAAACGTTATTATAGCATAGATATTGTAACGTAAGACGATGTGTGAAATATTGTGAATACACCTAAAAGTGTTGAATTTTTTAATTCAATGTTAACACAAAAATTCTCCAGTTAGCATGAAACCGAATCGTTTGGGTAGAACCTAAAAATGCACTTGTAAAAAAATGGAAAAACATCAGTATTCCCTTGCACTGATGTACTCTCTATTATACAGTCAATAAACATAAAGAATTAACAAATAGTTTTCTTTTATTGCTTCCTAATTGATGAGTCAACATAAGGGATGTTATAGAAGACCAAAAGTGTGTCAGGCCTTTTTTTTTTTTTTTGTCGTTCCTTAAAAAGAACATTTGATTGATAAAATGGTGAAAATTCTCACTATTATATTGGTGTACATTTTATGTGATAAGTTCTCTTGTGAACGAATCTATTCTGTATTTTCCTTGCAGGATATACAACATGGCTGACGCGGTGCGAGGTCCCGTGGTTGGCCGTCCATTGGCTTTTGCCAATGAAGAGCGGCGGACGGTTCACTCCTGGGCCCGGATCTCATCAGCAGGGCAGAACGTCCTCCTGGATGCTCTGAAGATCCTCAGCCCCATGTCCCGGGACCTCTCGAGCAGCGAGGAACTGGTCACATTCCTGCAGGAGCTGAGAGAAGAGGGCCACAGGCCTACGGTGCTGCGCAGCAAGGACGTGTACCACTACCGCTCCTGCACCAACCAACTCCTTACTATAGACAAGCTGAAACCGCCCAGCAGGAACGTAAGGCCCACCGCCAAGAGGAGGGCAAAAAGGCCCTTAAATAAGAAGAGGGACGTGCACCCATCCTGGAACATCTCTGGAAGGAGCAGCCCCAGAATACATGGGATCCCCCCTCCAGAGCTGCTGATGGCCAATCGAGGCATTATCTGTTGCAGGACTCCCAGTCGGACAGTAGAGACGTTGCAGGCCCTTCAGGTTCAGCCATGTCTCAGACTTACCAACATTGAAGGCTCGTCTGGCTTCCATACTGCTAGACTCCAGATCCACACTTCCTGGGACTCCTCCTCTGAGGTGCCCTCTGTTGCTTTTTCCCAGCAACAGCACCCTCCAACACTTTCAGGAATACCTTTGCAGCCTTCTCAGAACGGTGGTGGGGCACCCACCAAAGCTGTGGCCTTGTTCAGCCAGAAGAGCCTGTCCTGTCCCATCCGATTGGATGGGGCACTTATTGGTGACTCTGCACCTGTCTTTTACGCTAATGGCAGGGCATTCCCAGAGACTCACACAGAGCTGACCAGTAATGGTTGGAGGAGCAACGGCATCCATAAGGAAGCCCGGAGCCCCAAGGAACTGAACCATCCAACCAGGCAGAGAAATGGCTGGAAAGACAAGAAAAGTTTTAGATGGAGAGTGATAAAGGTGGATGGCTCTCGCTCTGTAGCTGATGCCTGCAGAAAAGCACAGAAGATTCTACAGGTCAACCTGTCGCCAGTGATTCAGATACAACCTCTCCAGCATCTGATAAGAGACTTCAGATACCAGAATAAGTGACAATTCCCCCAAACCCCCATTGTTTCCTCTAGCAGATGTTAGTGTTTTACATCCATTAGCCTCTACCTGACATGACAGATATCTTTCATGGGTTTGTGATCACTGCTCATAGTTGGAGATAAAGAAGTTAGTATCTGTCTGTAGAAGTTCTGGTTTCTTACAGGGGCACTTGGGTTCAAAAGGCATTTAAAGCTAGGTGATGCGTTTCCCAGCAGGCTGGGAAATGACACTCAGCCAAATGTTGGTACATTATCATTATCCTGTCAACGGGAGTTTCAACCAACCATCATTCTGCTTTGAGTTGTCTTGCTGCTAGCTAGTGTTGCAGATTCATTTTGGGAGGTAGCATCCACTGTGACTGTTAAATCAGATTAACTTTCTGCCCTTCCCAAAGGGACTGAGAGTGGCTAACATCTGTTTGAAGAGTATTTATAACTTGTTTGAAGTATAGAGCCATTTCGTTAAAGTTTTTCTTGTCTTGCCTAAAACAGTGCAGACACTCTACAGTATCCTATTTTCTATAGAAAAGAAGTAGAGAAAATGAAGAGTTAGTTGGGCCTTGAGGATCCTGTTAGGCACTCAGATGAACTGGTGGACTAAGTTTCCACAGTCTTCAGGTGAGCGGACATGGTGGTTGGTTGGTTCCAACAAAACAAATGAACTTAACAAAATGAGGCAAGAAGAGAGAAAGTGTTCAGTTTGTCTTCCTGTTTTTGTAATTTTTTTTGTTGTGTTTTCACTGGAAATCGGGAGGCTCTTGCAGCGAGTTCAGCAGGGAATCCGACGCGCGAGCATACTTAGAGATAGATCGATCGATATCTGTGAGATTTGTTTGAACGACAGTCCTTCACAAAGTGTTCCTTTTGGTTTGGTTAATCCATACACAAAGACAAAAACTGAGTATTTTTGACTGTTGGGAAGTTTTCATGTCTTACTATGACAAACCTTGAACAAATTAAACCTCTGAGATGAATCTCTAAATGTAAATTAAGGGAAAAGATTGTAAAATTGGTTGAGTTTTATTTTCTCCCCTCAAGTTTTTCAATTCTGGTAAGAGACCCAGGTCTACATGTGTTTTAAGAAGTCTTACCCCAGATTGAAAAGATTGAAGAGATTGAAAAGGTTTGTCAAAATGTGTTATACTTTAGCTGCAAGACTGTTGAGTTAAATTTAAGACTGCAGCACTTAAACGTTTCATTTCCCATCAGAACTCACTCTGCGCTCCTCTCTTTTGATCTGATGGCAAAATTAAATTATAGTTTTTTTTTTGGACTCTTTGCTGTGAAAACAACTGTTGTGGCCAACTTCAAAACTAAAAAATGTACTTTTAGAGTGGGACAGTGCTGCATTGTTGATTCTTCCTGAACATGAAAGTCGTAAATGTTTTATTTCCTGCAGCACGTAGAAAGCTTTTGAAATGATTTCTTAAATTTGGTTTGACTTTCTTTGACCCCACACTGAATTTTGCTACAGGTGCTAACATTTCATTATGGATGCTGAATTAAACGACTGGTAAAGGGATGTAGTCATGTTTCTCTCCTCCGGTTCAGATTGGAGCATTTTCTGAGGGATTGAAAACATTGCTCCCACTGCAGGTTGGGTGCTATCCAATGAGTTGTTTTCTTACTGAGGAACCACCTAAATCCATTTTCAGTCTGTGAAAAACTCCTGTGTATTCCCCTAAAAATATGAGATTGTTGGGTTAAACCAAATTCCTCAAAACAAAGACAATGTTTAAAGTGCTGAAGTTTGTATTTGACCTTGGAAGCAGCTCTAGAAAATCAACTCAGAGCAACAGGAACCTTTTCTTAATTCTACTGATCTCAAGACCATCAAATTCAGTTTAAATATCTCGGAAAAGCCAGTAAGATTACAGAGGTCTGTGTCTTTTGCCTTTACACTACGGCAACAAGTTGCATTACTCTGAAAAATATCAAATATGTTCCAAGCATATGTTCCAAGCATCTGTTCCATGTTTGGATGTGTTGGATTCTGTTGCAGGCCACTATGTAGACCAAATTTAACAGATTTCAATTGTTAATCTGTGCTTTCGGGTTCAGTGTCATCTGTTTGTTTACCGTTTAAACTGAGACCACATCAGTGTTTAGTGGTCGGCTTAGCAGGTTTCCACGTCGCCATTCTCGATGAAGGTCATGTTCTTGAAGAGCCCCCCCCCCCCTCGTCTGATCTCTCGTACGCAGTCATGTTCATGACCGTTGACAATTCCCCCTTTTCTAGATCTTCTTTCTGTTAGTCTTATTTGTGCAACACTTGTATAAAATTGTATTTCCTACATGATCTTTGAAAACCTTTTTGTTCAATAAAAAATCTGAAAATAATTGGGGTTTTTTCTTACTCTCTCTCAGCAGCATGTTCATCATGTGGACCAAAACAAGTGAGAACAAACTCATGAAATATTACCTTAATGGCTATCTGATCAGATTTATTTTTCAGATGTACTCAACCTCGTTTTCTGAAAAAGTGAGGATGTTAAGTGAAATGTAAATAAAAACAGAATATGATGAGTTGCGAAACACTGAAACCCCACATGATTTGCCCAATTTGAATTTGATGCCGACATGTATCAATCAAAGTTTGGACAGTGGCAAAAAAAAAATGATGGAACATCTTCCAGTTATTAGGGTTAGCTGGCAATGTGCTTGGATTAAAAAGTCTTCCTGTCGTACAAAAAGATGGACAGGGGCGTCTCTCTGAATGATGGTGCTCGCAAATATTGCAACACTTGAATGTTTTTTGAACATATTCTGCAAAGAATGGGGATTTCATCGTCTCTGGTTCATATTATCATTTATAATATGATGTCAGGTTTCAGCTCCAGTGAGCTTTCAGTCTGTTAAGATTGCTTATTACAATTCTGATATTTTGTTCACCTTTTTTTATAAAGGGATACTCAGATTTGAGTTGTCTTTTATTTAGAAACTGCTTTTCTTTTTTAATGATAGGCCTAGTTGTTTTTTGGTTTTAGAAAGATTTTTTTGGACAAAGTTAGGCAATTTTACTTTGAGGGATTTTTTTACTATTTATTTATTTATCTATTTTAAACAGTTTACAGACCTTTCATTGAAGCCCAGGTGCATTTATTCAGCTTTCTCGGACAAGAGATCCTCATACGTCAGAAACATTTTTGAATGACAGTTTGATATGTTAGTCACAGCAAAAATGAAACTGCAAAGAAGAGGTCTAAAGAGGAGTGTGATGATAGTTTGCTTAATTTTTTTCATTTATGAAGTATGCTATTTTTTAAATTAGGAGCTGTTGTTGTTGGTATTGTATTTGGATCGTCTGTGTGAACAACACTTACAGCCAAACACAAGCCCTCAAAATGCAGACACTTCCTGTTGTGACAACCCCAAATGTATCAGCAGAGGCACTGCTTTTCAACAGGCAAGACAAAAAATGGAGCCTCCCCCCAATTGTCTTTTGCCTAGGGCCCCGACTCTAGAATTGCCTCTAGCTGCCAATTGTCCGTCTCCCCATTCAGTTGCCTTCAGGTAGAGAGGGGCGGAGCCAGTTCATTTGAGTTCATGCACCTGGGCAGTCTAGGCCTGGGTATTTAAGCTGGCTTCTCATCCTGCTCTCTTTCTCTATTGCCATCACCAACTTTGTTTACTTCAAAACCGTGTGGTCTCCCTCTTTTCCAGTGCACTGAGTCTGGGTTGTGATATTCACAGACACTGTCTACATGTCTAAGACTACAGTGAACTGAATGTATCTAAATGGTAAGTGCTTTTACACATCAAGCTATAACTCTCCTTAAGAAACCAAACACATAAATTAACAAATTATAGCCTAAATAAGTTTAGCACACACGTGAAGACTTCCCGTTTTCAAAGTGTTAATGGTTAGCCCTCCTGATGCCATGGCAACTAGAGGTAGGCTGCGACATTCCATCTGGATCTGAACACACCAAGAACAAGCGCATCAAAACTATAAAAAAATTAGTCACTGTAATGAATCCACAGTCATGTATTAAAATGCACAGTCACTCTGTCTTTACATAGAATAATGTTTTAGTCACGAAAATTGGAGCTAAACATTGTGGTTTGTGTACACTTCCGGTTTTATTATGAGGCGGTGCGGAAACGGACAACACCAGATTTTTGTGCGGCTTCCAATTAAATATCAAAACGAAAAGACATTTATTTACATTTATTTATTTAACATTTATGAAATGATAAGTAATTATGGTTTTTTTTGTTTACGGATCTGTAAAGCTTGCTAGCTTGATTGATTCATGTTTTTTCTAATGTCTCAGCTGGACAGTTTATGGTCCTGGAATACTCACCTGCTCTGCCTCCATGAAGCAAACAGAAGAGTTAAGTTTGTCTCTCCACAGACCAGCTGAATTCTCGTTCTTTGTGCTGGTAATGAAACACTGAGCTTCAAATTGTTTCAGGTATAAAAATACAGGCTCAAGATTTTAACACAAGCAGAGGCAACTTTTTAACATTTCCTGCAAAGATATATCGCTTGAAATGCTTGACTGTCATTTTGACAACATTCTGCCCAACAAGAAATCAATCCAGGTCATGACAGGTGCAGCTGTGACTCAGTGGGTTGGTTGTCTCTCAACCCAATGGTTGGGGGTTCGATCCTCAGCTCCTGGCTGCAGCCAAGTGTCGATAAGATAAGATAACACTTTATTGTCCATTTGTCTTGCATTACAAGCTCAGAAATCCTTACATCCCAATCAGATCACAGCATACTCTATATACAGAATGTAAAAACAGCATAAGTTACATTAAAAATCACAGTTCAGCAGTGACATAGATAAATAATGTTAGGAGATTGTCCATAGTTTAAAGTGCTCACGGTCCATGTGCCGCCCAGGTCAGGTACATTAATGATTGGAAATGTGTGGGGTGGGGTTTGGCCTGCCTCCGCTCTATTGTTTGTTCAGCAGTGATATGGAGTGAGGAATGAAAGAGTGTTTGTACTTGTTCCTCTTACAGTTTGGCACCATAAAGCGCCTCCCAGAGGGCAGGAGCTGATACTCCTCATGTAGGACATGAGAAATGTCGGAGGCTATCTTCCCAGTCAGTCTGAAGGTGTGCTTAGTGCAGCTCACCTGGAGCGATGTGTCCTTAGGAAAGTCACTCAACCCCAAGTTTCTCCTGCTGCTTCGGCAGCAGTGTATACTGGGATTAGTTATACTGATGGACACTTCTGCCATCTAGAAAATGTAGATAAAGTTTTAATGTTGGCTGTGTCAGGTTGAACCATATAACAACACGACCAGAGCAACGCGTAACCTGCTCAGGCATGTGGACGTTAACCTGCAAGGAAGAACGAAGGCTGGCTTTGCTAGCACTGCTAACATTAGCCACACTTTGCAATCTAATTTGACATTGTTTACCCACAGATGCTGTTTAGCCGTGTTTAATTAATTTTGTCCAATTCTGACTGTTTCTGGTAGTCTTCTTAACTTCAGACTAGTTCACAAGTCTGAAGTGTAATTGGCTGGGAAATTGGCAGAACTGAGGTCTACATTAAAATCCTCGGTCCATATCAACGTTGTGAACTCGTGCAGGTGAAGTGTGCTTGGGCATGGCACGGATTGCCAAGTGTGAGTGCGCCCACTCAGGAGAGTTCAGGTGAGGATTGTACCTATCTCTGATTTCAGCAGCAGATAGATCTCATTACTGATATGTCGTGGCTTGTTGGTACCTGGTAAAGCCCCGAGGCTTAGAGTTAATTAATTCCTCAGGGTGTAACACCAAATTATTTATACAGAATTACCTGAGGTGTGACACCAAAGACATTAGAAAGCAATGTTTTTTGATCCTCTTAACTAAAGTTGATCTGGTTATTCATGAGCTAAAAAAGTTGCATACTAATGCACAAAAGGCTTCTCATCACTGTTGACCAAACATTTTAAAGCTGCTCCACAGGACCTGAACTCATGAAAGGGAAGTTTCTTTTGCAAAATACAATTTGCATTTCAGCCTGATTAAGTTTGACCGGTGAGGGAAATGTTGGATTGTCCAACATTAGGCAACAAAGAGAGGTGGTTTGTTCCATGTATCTCCTGAAATCTGACCCAGATGTTTGTTTAGAGGCAACGCTTGGGTCCAAATAGACAATCTGATGGGTATTTTATAGTCCTTAAAGCCAATCCTTGACAATCATGCCAAGATTTCTCACCAGTGCGATCAGGTACAAGCAGCACAGGAACTTAAAACATCCAAATCAGGTGAACAAACTTCCCAAACATTACATTTTTAATAATAACCAGTTTTGTTGATTTGTTTTGATTTGAGTTGGTAACTTTGTACAGCAAACAGAACAACAGCTTTGTACTCGTTCATCTTAAAGAAAGAGTCGACTTCCTTCAGCTGCATGCTCCTACCAGGCCACACTCCTGTGGTAGTCAAATGGAAAATCTCTCAAACCTGATTCTCCTTAGAGTCTCCTGAGTTCACATTAGAAAATAAAGCAGTTTCTTTTGATTCCATCACAAAACTGAAGCACACATTTGTGTCTTTGTCACAAACCTACGTTTAAAATCTTCAAACAGAAAAAATGTTAATGGTGTTAAAGTTCTCTAAAATAGTACCATAACAGATTCTAGGGCCCTATACTGGAAAATGGTGCACAAATATACATCACCTGAGAAAATAAGCCTCATCGTTTGTGCCTGTATTGGCAAAAAAAACTACCCAATCACAGCGGAGTACGTTAATCACATTCGTAACGCACACAAGTCTCAAGCTTCAGACTCTTGTAGTGAAGACACTTTTGGTTTCCTCTCCACAGAAACCCGCTCTCACATTCAGCCCCTTCAAAAAGAAAAATTCAAATTCAGACAGGAAGTAGGAAGTGAACCTACAGCAGCAGTTTGAAATGAGGGCTTCAGTGGCGGCAAACAGCCAGCCAGCCTGCAGCAGTGGAGGAGCAGGTCCTGGTCTCTGGTCTTGACTGCCCCCCCCCCCCCCTTCTCCCTTCACAGCGTCGCCATTTCCAAGCTGCTACGCTCTGAAGCCTGCGCTGCCGCTCAGCCCTTTGTGTGTTGGGGGAAGGGAGCTCAGCAGGCAGTGAAACGGCTCCACAGCTGCTCGCTCTCCATTTTGGAAAGGTTACCTCGTCACAGATATTCTGATCTCAGTACGGCCAGTATGTGCCTTGTGTGAACTCTAAAACAAATAAACTGTCTGACGGCCATGTGGACAGCAGAGGGAGGAGGTCAGGCTTGTCTTTGTGTCTTGACTGTCGGAAGAAGAGAGGTAAAGCTATTTAAAGAAGTCTACAGAGGAAGCATTTGAGGTTTTTCAGTTTGAGACAGGGGAAGAGCTTCAGGATAAACATCGACCTTTTTTTT